GAGGGAGGGAGGGAGGGAGTAAAGAAGGTAAGGCGAAGTTTGACGCCATGACAGTGACGGCTGCCATGGCCGCGGCAATTGCCGCGGCTGCGGAGGAGGAGGCGATCATACGGCAGAGGTTGCTGACGAGGACGACTGTGACACGTGGCGAGCCGCCGTTGCGTAAGCTGTTGAAGCGTTTCACGGCTTTCGCGGCTGCTGTGGACAATGAGAAAACTTCGGTCAAGGATTGCGCCAAGGCCTGCGAGGCTTTCCTGAGAGAGCTGGACTTTTATTATCTCTCTTTGGAGAGGACTGATTCCGTTAAAGATGCAAACAAAAGAGAGCAACAAAACTTTGTCAAGCTGAGGGAGATACTGGCGGGGTCGATCGAGAGCGAGCAGGCCGAGATCGAGTCGCTGAAGTTGCAGCTAGAAGACGCCAAGCTGACGCGACAACACAAGGAAGAGTGCGAGGCAATCCGACGGTTGATAGCCGCCGAGCCAGCGAGAGAGGTGTCTCAGAAAGCCATCTCCGTTCTCGAGGCAGACATAGCCGGGCTTGAGAGGGAATGCCTTTCCATAACGAAGACGCTCGACTTGCGCAGAAAGCAATTCGCTCTTCTTCTACACGCTGTGGAGGAGCTGCAGAGTGAAATCGGGATCGGACCTCAATCAGAAGATGCCACGTCATCGGCGGGTCTCGTGGCGCCTAGTTCGTTTGCTTCCGCCCTTCCGCCGACCGCGGCGCAGGGTTCCGCAGGGCCGCCCGCGCATCCGCCTGGCGCTGTAACTGTTATCGATGTCCCCGACGATGACGTGGGCGCGACTCCCATGGACGCCAGCTAGCAGCAGCAGCGTTCAAGACTGGCATTCATTGCACAGCCCGGAGGGCGTTGAGCGAAGGTATAGGTATAGGTATAGGTAGTGACAGGCCCGAGGTCGGCGGGTCCGGCTGGTCACTTGCAGTAGCCATGAGCTATTTGTGTCTGTCTTTTTTTTTTTTTGTGGCAATGCTGGTGTCAACTGCGATGGTGGTCCCGGTTCGCAGAGACCCCCCTGTGATATTCAGAATATTCAGAGACCCTAGGAATAGCCGGAGAGTTTTAAAGGGTTATGAGGTGAGATGAATTTGTGAACCAGTTCACATGTGGTGGGATTTGAAGAAGAGAGAGAGAGAGAGAAAGAGCAAATGTTGAAGGTTTTGATCTGTCTTAATAATGTCATTTTTGCAACAACGACAACAACAAAAAAGAAGTAATGTTAGTTTTGCATCCATGGCGACATTCGCTGTTGGGATATGCAACAACGACAACAAAAAAAAGAAGTAATGTTCGTCAGTCAGCAAGCAAGTTTGAACTTTGAATGAATACATAAGCAAATGCTTTCGGCAAATGTCAAATGAACGTGTGGATCTATGCACAAGCAAATGCAATGATATAAGGTCGGTTTTGTGTCTGGACCTGCTTTCTTTGCTTAGGATTCTTGCAAGGAAGCCGACTGTTCATCACTTGCTGGAGTGCATCAGATCACATGCATATAAGGTTGCCATGTCTCACACAAAACCCAGTAGAAGATGAAATGAGAACCCAGTAGAAGATGAAATGAGAATCAGGAAGCTCAACTCAATTATGATAACCAGATTAAGAGAGGAATTTTGTGTGTCCAAAAAGTATAGCGCTGAACAGACAGAGTTACAAGTCTTCTTCTTCGATCAACACGAGTTCCAAGCCTGGTGCTCATCAGGGCCAGCTGCCATACGTCAACAACAGCGCTCAACAGGTATGTGTCACCACAGCTCACACCTCCCCCTCTCTCGTCTGCCTTCTTCTCTCTCTCTCCCTCTATGTCTATTGTCCGGGTCTACTCCCACTCATCATGCATGCACACTCCCTATCACACGACGATCTACTTTGAATACTACTCACTGAACTCTTCTACTAACCATCCCTACTAATGTACTAACTGGCACTGGCGCAGCTATGGCTGTCTTCCTTCCAGCCGGTGCCCCTCTCTTCTTCCTCACACGTAGCGCTGCTCTCAGCTTAGCGCGGCTCACACACACCTGGTGCACAAGTGCCACGGCACTTCCACACTCTCATGCGAGATGAGCATCTGTCAAATGGAAGGCTGGCCAGTTCTTTATAGTGCTGGACTAGCCTGGCGTGCCCTGCATTCAGCCTCAACTGTGCCTGGGACTCCTGCCCAGTACCCGTTGTTGCAAAGTGTGTGTCCCAGTATCTTTTTTCCCATGGTCTGCTGCTGCTTTGGGCCATCGGGCCTGTCTTTGGGACTCCTGGTCTGAATCAGGACTGACTCGTAGGATTATGACTGAACTGGGACTGTGGCCTTTGACACATTGCCGAACAGACGTGACTTTCCATGGAGGAGACATGACCCTAACTCAGTTCTAGAAAACTGTGTCCGATACCTGTTCGTGCAGGACCTGTTTGTGACTGTTGAAAACGACTTTTTGCAGGACCTGTTTGTGACTGTTCAAAACGACTTCTCAGTTCATTATGGATGCGGCATTTGCCTCAGGAACTTTATCTTTTGGGTTGCAGTTCGTGAATTTGCGTTCTGGCCGACAGGGGCCCTCACTGTTGGGGCATTCATCTGGGGTCTAATTCGTAAAGCCCTCTTTATTCTGTCTGTTTTTCGTTACATGTTTCCTCGGTAGTCGGGGAGGGGTTGCAACGCTGCATGTGTGGTTGCAATGCTGCATGTGTGGATCTATGCACAAGCAAATGCAATGGCATAAGGTCGTTTTTGTGTCTGGACCTGCTTTCTTTGCTTAGGATTCTGTCTGTTTTTCGCCACATGTTTCCTCGATAGTCTAATTGTTTGTAGCTGGGTCGACGCTTTCGACTGTGTTCGGATTTTGACTTAATTTCGAGCACGCTGTCCGCATCGGCATTAGCACATGTGTGTGCTTGTTGCTGAGAACATGTTGTGGTCTATATGGTTTTATGCATTGTCCTGTTCCTGCTGACACAACGTTAGACATGATTTTGGCAGAGTGTTTGACCTGACTATGAACCCATGCATAAAAAGCTAAATTCGTTGACACAGATAAAATCTGGTTTTATGCTTGTTTTTTTTTTTTTGACGGAGGGAATCGAATGGGATGAATATGCTTTTAGTTGTTTCATTGTTACGATGGATTATTTGTGCGCAAGCAAAACCTGTACGGTCAGTACCCAAGTGTGGATGCATTAGCCTTGAATGTGCGGATATGTGCATAACCAAATGGATAATTTCAGTCAGTACCCAAGTTTGAATATAGCCTGATGTTGAGCCCGCGCTTGGCTGTGGTTCATGTGTGGGGGAGGGTGGCTTTCAGTGAATATGCAAGAGGTTTTGTTTAGGGGGTTTGTTATTGCCCCATAGCTGTAGCAGGCTTGGTGGCAAGAGCAACATAAAGTCTCATGGAGCAGAATGTTTGCTGGTCGCTGTAACCATAACGGTCTTGACTTAGGTGGTAGCAGGCAGTAGAAACACATCGATTCCGCCTTGCGAAGCGAAAGGTAAGACAGCTTCAAGAGCGCAGCAAGGAGAGGGTAGGGGAGGATCAGAAAGAGAAGGGAGAAAGTGAGAGAGAAAGAGATATGACAGGAATGGATTTTGACAAATTTAAACTGCAGTAGATCTTGAACTGTGGCTGCTTTGTCGATAGTCTGCAGTAACCCTGTTCAGAAGTAGCTGGGGCACAGAAACCAGCCCCAGAATTCGCAGACCAAAATTGGTCTGCACCGGGCTGTGTGACCAGCACATGCCCAGGCCTGAGCAGGCCGAGCTTGGCTGTGGGACCAAGCACTAAACTCAGGAAATTCAAGAGTCAAAGTCAACTGTCAAAGTCAAGGTACCACGCCCAGACCCTTGGTTGGATACATCCACTTGTTGTGCGCAGGTACCCAGACATGCATCCAGGCCGAAGAAAGTACAGTTTCAGATCGATCCAGGCCCTCATCGGAGTCAAGATCTGGACGGCGGGCATTTGCAGCAGCCGGGGTCCAGACCCCGAGTCAACGCTACAAAAGGTTGACTCTCCTGGCTTTGACATTCATTCTGGCTGTCTTGCATTGACACTGCTTCAACGCATTGACTCCGCAGTGTTGACTTGACGCTGCGATGCTGGACGAGCGCTGGCATTAGGCTGGCATTGGCCAGATAGCAGCAGAGCGCTGCTGGCTGGTGCGCTGACTGGCTAGCTACTGTCTTCAAGGCTTGCTGACGTGGCAGTTGCCACACATTGCTGCTGACGTGGCTGCCGCCACGTGTGACATCGCCGGGTCCAAGGGACCGGCATTGCTGTTCTATTGCATCATCACTTCAAGGAGAGATC